ATTTTTGGGTTTGTAGAATATGCACAAAACTTGTACTAGAAGATGAGAAAATATTATATTTATATACATAAAAAATAATACTTATTTTTCAACATTATATTTTGGGTGCATATGCTATGAAAACACAAGAAAATTGTATTATGGGCTGGAGTACTCCTATGCGCTTCATTATTTTCAATAAACTTATGAATAGGTCTCATTTGTGTATCAATATTTCATTGAAGAATTCATCCCCTTTACCGTGTATCACAAGTTCATGAAAAACGAAAGAGTTCAGAATTTCTTGTGAGGAGATCATAGTATAATTTCCTTGTGTTTTCATAGAATATGCACAAAAGTTTCAATGTTGATTAATAAATTTTTTATGCCTTGTATAATTTTCTTTATGAGTTTTAAATTTAAATTGTACAATGACTTTATTGTTCATACAATCAAATACATAGTTTCTAAAAGAGTATTAGTGCTAAAAGAAAACCAATTTGTCCTCCTTTTGACCTTGTTTACTTTATTAGGAAGCAGTGAATAATTTTTGCAAAAAAATGTTATTAGAGATGAGACTAATATGTGTTGGTGGGTCCTACCTCTATTAAAAAATAAGACCCACATTTTTTTAATAGGCAAAAACTTCAATGTTAATTAATAAAAATCAGCTCTCTTTTTCAATGAAAATATGAGCTATCTTTTTCTAATGTACAATTATTTGTTTCAAAACTATAAGTTCTCTATAAAAATACTTCAAGAGTTCATTTGGAGTAAAGAACCCCCTCATCTACCTCATTGTCATGATCTAATTAATTTTTAGCTGTGAAATTTCTTTGTACCCTTCCCATTACAAAGCCAAGTCAGCTTTTTAAGTATTGGCATGCTATAATCAATTCTTAGTTGTGAAATTTCTATTGTGCCCTTCTCTAAGAATATTAAACTTGTTTATTTTCATTTAAAGTATATAAATCTAATTAAAGTATTGAATTTGTGTATTTTCATCCAAATTACAATGTTTATTCATTATCTACTTTGTCAATGACCACTTCTATGTGAACAACTTTTAAAAGAAAGAAAATATGGCCCGTTCTTTATTAGTTTAACTATTAAAATTTTGAACAAGAAAAATATTTTGAGATATTTTGGATGCGGTCTCTAATCCTTAACATTCTTTGATTAAAACTTTAATAGTATTCAAAGTTTGATCAAAGTCCCTTGACTTTGTACACCTCATTATATTACTATTAATATTTATATTTTTATAGTTTTGACATTAATTGTTTGATATTTTATGAGATTTATAATCCTATAAATTTAAAATCCCTCATTATAATACTATTAGAAACAGTTACAATAAAAAAATTCAAACATTTTGATTGAATAAATGGATAAAAACTATGTTAAAATAAGAAATAATAAATGGCAAAAGAATCTATCAATAGTGTTAAAAAAATTGGTACATTTCACATATAACAAAGTGGTACATTAATAAAGAAGAATGGATACATTATAAATAAATTAGGGTACAGATAAAAGATTAGAAAATTATGAGTACAAATGAAGTTTTAAAAAAAATATAGGCGCTAAAAGAAATTAATACATGGGTACAAAATAAAACTAAAAAGAAAATACTACAAATTTAAAAAAAAAATGTTGCAAATTAAAAGTGGGTACAAACTAAAAATATAAATATATGATACAAAGTTTAGGCATAAAACATAAATATACCATATGTAATTTTTCTATCATTGATTAAATATACAATGTCACGTGACGGTATACACATGAATCCAAACACAAATAAAAATTTTAAAAATATGGGCACAAAAAGAAACTAATATATGGGTACAAATTAAAAATGAAAAGAAAATTGGTACATTAAAAAATATTTGCAAATTAAAAATAGGTACAAACTAAAAATAAAAATATATGGTAAAATTTTTAACCATAAATATAAATATACTAAATGTAACATTTTTAACACTAAAGGAATATATTTAAAAATAAAAATATTTTATTATTCAAATAATTAATGATGTAATTAATACCCAAGGACCTTGATCAAAAATTGAAAATGAATAGGATTTTAATCAATGGAGTAACAAAAAGAAGGATGTGAACCTAATTTCCACTAAGTTTAAGCTGATCACGTAACGGTATTGAACGAGACTAATCAAACAACTTTTTTTTATTAAAAAAAAAAAAAAAAAAAAAAAGCTGATCAATCTGTGCTGGTTGGAAAACATAGTTTGAGACCAATTCATTGCAATAGTCAACAACAATCAATTCTTCTAGATTTGGTAATGAATCCAAATTATATGTGAACACATGTTCTGGAAACTTGACCAATAGACGTGAGTATAGATACTAGAAAAACTTATCGAGGACGAGATTAACACCTGACACCATGGCATAAAAGTTCTTATCTTATGGAGAATCTTCAACCTTTTCTTTTTTGTTCCTTTTACTTATAAAATTTATTTTGGAGAGCATGAATCAGATGGTGGTGTTGAACTATAGTATGAGACCAATTCATCGCAAATAGTCAATAACAATCAATTCCACTACATTTGGCAATGAACTCAGATTATATGCGAACACAATTCTGAAAACTTGACTAACAAATGTGAATATAGATACTTGAGAAACTTACTGACGATGAGATTAATACCTGACCCTGTGACATAAAAGTTCTTGTCTTATGGAGACTCTTCAACCTTTTCTTTTTGGTTCCTTTACTTATAAAACGTATTTTGGGAAGCATAATCACACTATGGTGTTGAACTATACATACAAATTTTCAAACCAAAAGGTTAAGAAACTGCGTATAGGGATTGATTGTGAAACTATGTTAGAGTAGAGTTTAAGAAGTCCCATTAAAAACACAAACCACATTTTCCCTCTGATAAAACAACTTTCACATTAAACTTATTGCTCAGATATTAAATTTCCCTTCACATTTCACTAGTTTAGAAAATTTCTTAAGGTTGTCAAAATAGTGCTCATTTAACAACAAATGATTATACCGTGCAATATCCCACACTACTATTTATGAAGCCCACGTTCACCGAGGAAACACAAGTATCAGAACTGAGTCTTGTGGATCCAATTTAGGTTGATATAATTATCCTTACGTTGTTGAGACACAATGAGAGATTCCCATAAGTATTTTGTCTCTTCATCACAGACAACTTCCTTTAACTGCTTAAGATCCATGACTGATGGAGGCAGCTCTTGCAACCTTGAGCATTGTCTCATGTTGATCTTCTTTAAACTACCCATTTCAACTATGTCTTTAGGCAACATCTTGATGCTGAAGCAAACATATATGTCGAGAAATTTTACCTTTCCAAGGTTCTTCATCGTGGTTGGAAACTTTAACAGTTCTGTGTAGGATCTTAGCCTCAACATTTCTAAATTTTCCGACTTTCCAATCCCTTCAGCTAAGGCAGATAGCTTATGACAGTTACGTATGGTTTGGCATTGAGGTGCTTAAAAAAAAGTTGCTTATTTTCAAAGTTTTTATGTTGAAGGTGTTTGGTAAACTCAAAAAAAATGGATTGAATAAGCTGAAATCATCAGAAAAGCTGAAGCACCTAAAATGCTGCTTTGGAAAACTGGCTTTTTTTCAAAGCACGCAGAGCTACAGTGCTCCTTTAATGAAACTTTCTAAAGTCCAATAACACCCTCAAACAAGAAACAGTGCTCCTTTGCCGATCTCCACAAAACCCAGAAACCCACCAGAAATGGCTTTGCTGATCTGCAATAGAAATGGAAACACAGAAACCCAGAAACCCACTAGACTACCACAGCCAAAACTGATAATTGCAAAAAAAAAAAAAAAAAAACAAACAAACAAACAAAAACATAAAACTCTCATTTTTCCTCTGCTACTTCAAGAATCTGTAGACAAAAAGAACAACAACAATTCAATTTCTCCTTCTTCAAAGTTTACAACTTTGAATTTGTTTCAATTCAGAAAAAAGAAAACGAGGAGGAGGTGGAGAAGATAACCTTGAGTCGCTGCTTGTGGAAGGAAAAGAGGTTGGACTGAAAACAGCGAGAAGAAGAGGATTGAGTCGCTGCCTCCGTTATCCATCTTCAATTTCTCCTCCTTCAAAGTATACAACTTGGAGACAGCGAGATGAAGATAGGCTGGATTGGAGACAGCGAGAAGCGAAGCGAGGGCAGTGGCGGTGAGGAAGGTTCTTGATTTTTTAGGGTTTTGGATTAAGGATTTCACGGCCACACAAATGGTGGTGTTGCCGTTGTCGTCCGTGTGTGTATGTCGGAGGAGGAAGAAGAAAGTGAAAACAATGAAAGGGAGAGGAAGGCAACTCTATTAAATCACTGCAATAGTCGATTTACATTTCTTCTAGATTCAGGAATACCAATGAGATTGAGATGTAACAGTTAGTGACGCTAAGCTTCTTTAATTTACTAAGATTACAAATCTTGGTAAGCAACTCTATTAAATCACTGCAATAGTCGATGTACATTTCTTCTAGATTCAGAAATGCCAATGAGATTGAGATGTAACAATTGTTGAAAGCTTGCTCCCTCCTCCCTCTGTATTGCAAAATTTTGCAGTCCCTCTTTCGAGTTATACGTTTCTCGATGTCTTTGATGAGTGGTTGTACAGAGTCGAGTGTGAACTTGATGTCTCGGGAGAGGTGTTGGAACCTTTTATTCTCCTCCTACGCTAATTTTACAGCATCAAACAACATTTTAAATGCCGTTCTGAGAGCACCCATTCTGATTGAAGCCAGAGACATACTTACCAAAACAAAGAGACTCTAAACAATGGGCTCCAGACAATAGCTTTTAAAAGCAGCCTGCAAGTTGCTTTTAAAAGCTGCTTTAGTAAAAAGAAAGGTCTATAATAAGTATTTTTAATTGCTGTAATACCTTCATTAATTTTTTTTAAATGACATTGTTTAGCCTTCCACACACATTCTGTTCCTCTATTCCTTAGAGAATAAAGTAAAGACTACCACCTACCACTCCAAATACTAACCTTACACCATCATCGTCATTGCAACCATCATTTTTGTCACCACCACCACCACCGCCATAACCACAACCTCCACCACTGTCATCACTACCATCATTGTCACCACCATCACTACCATCACCGCACTGCCGCCATTGCCACCACCACTACTACCACCATCGATGCTGTTATCGCCAACACCATCACCACCACCATTACCACAACTACCACCATTGCCATCACAACCACAACTATCATTACCACCATCATTGTTATCATTGTCGACACTAACATAACTCCAACTGCCACCATTGCCATCATGACCACTGCCACCACCTTACCACCGGTGTTACCTTTCCACCTCAACCAACACAGCCCACTATTAGCACCACCACGCCTTACCACCTGTGTTACCTTTCCACCTCAACCAACACATCCCACTATTAGCACCACCATCACTTCCTCCACTGCAACCACCACCTCCATTACTACCACTGCTGTCGTTGCCCCCATTCCTACTACTATGTCCATCTATCATTGTGTACAATTATATCACTTTTACATTAAATTTTACCAAACGCTTTTGCGCTGCTTTTCATATTCATAGGACTTTTAAAATTCAATTAACCAAACGGTCATCGGCTTTATTTTACAACTGATTATTCATAAAACATAACATAATTAGTTTTTTTAAAAACATAGCAATCCCAAACTGACCCTTAATCCTCTTTGTTAATCTAGTTTGATGAGCAAGTGAGAATGATATGTAAGTTGTTTGTTGGTTTCAGCACACATATATACAACTTAACGAACAAGCAATGAATTTCACCCAAAGAAAACGAACGAGCTGGGAAAGACATTTGACACGCTGTTAGGAGACGAGGAGATATATAATTTTCTAGTACATATGATTTGGTATTGAACTACTTTTAAAATGTTGTGCTGTAGCATAAATAGTTTAAAATAAAATAGTAAAAAAAATGTTGTGCTCTTGAATAAATAGTTTTAAATACGAGTAATGTTATGGGGACAAAATTTGCAAACTAAATAATATGTTACCAATAGGATTAAGCACATCATAATCTAATTATCAACTTCTATGTCACTTAATTTGCAAAATTTTGTCTACAAATTTAATATCCTTAGCATTACCCTTAAAATAAAACAGTAATGTTATGACCTATTTAACTGAAAGGGGATGAAGAGGTTCAACAAGAGAGAGAGAGCGGAGAAACAACCAATAGAGTTAATACATTGATTGAATAAATCAAAGGCCAGTTATTTTTTAACTCTTATTTTCTTGGGAATTTTAACAAAAAACTTCCGATACTGTTCATTTTAACAAAAAACCATATTTTTACACTAAAAAGTCAATCATGGTACTATTCATTTTCCCATTTATTTTGTCATTTTCGTTAAAACTCAAAGTTTTCAAGTCCTTTTAATTAATTTTCCTTATTTTCTTTCCTTGCCTTTATCCCTGCATACATTGCACAAACACCCATTGATTGGATAAATCAAAGAGAATCAATGAAGAATTGAACAATGAGGAGTGCAAACATGTTATTTACAATAACAGCCATGGTGAATAATTACAATAATTTACAGTGCTGCCATGTTATTTAAAAACACATAAAACATAAAATAGAAGTAAATTACAAAGGAAAAATAACATTAAACACAATCATACTGCATACATTGCACCAACACTCATTGATGGAAGGACCATAGCCTTAGGATGGAAGCTTGTTGAGCCAATTTAGGTTGATATCTTCTTTGATCACCTTTACGCTCATGTTTGTGAGAAATGGCGAGAAGGGTTCCCATAAGGTTTTCGTCTCCTCGTCGCATATCACTTCGTTCAACTGCTCAAGATCCATAACAGAAGCAGGCAGCTCTCTCAGTCTTGAACACTGGCTCACGTTGATCTTTTCCATGCTGCACATTGCACCAATGTCCTCGGGCAACTCCTTTATGCTAAAGCAATCGGATATGTCGAGAAATTTCAAAACTTCAAGGTTCCTAATCGAGCCTGGCAACTCTAACAAGTCTGCACATGACCTAAGCCTCAACACTTCTAGATTGACTAGCTTTCCAATGTCTGCAGGCAAGGCAGATAGCTTATGACAGTTGGTGATGCTAAGCTTCTTAAGGTGAACAAGGTCACATAGGTTGGCAGGAAGTTGCACCAGATCATGGCAATAATCAATGTTTAATTCCACTAGATTTGGCAGTGCATCTAAAATTTGGACGAAACCTTGGCCGATATCACACATGAAAAAAGATATCTTTTGCAAACTTTTCAACTGTTTGAGGACCTTGCTTATGGAAGGAACTGAAATATGTTCTAATCTAATTCTCTTAAGATTTGATAGCGAACCAAGTAGTTCAAAATTATCTAGTTCAGCAGGTAACAAACCATAATTATTTAGTATTAGAACTTTTAGTTTATCCATTTTCTCCACAAACTCAGGTAAGGCATAGTTCTTTGTTTGAAAATTCAGAACTAGAACCTCTGCTTCGGGTACTTGCATGTTTGGCCATTTTGCTGAGAAGGCTCCATCTGCAAACAATAAGCTTCAAGATATTAGCCTAAATGTGTGGAAGTCCTAAATGTGTGTGTGTGTGTGTGCACACGTGTGTCCCGAGTGCACATGTATTAAGTATTAACTAAGGAGAGATTGATGGAACCTGTTGAGATAGATAATAGTCGAGCCTTGATCGCTTTATACTTTTGTTCTGTCAACCACTTAGGAAGTTTGACCCCACATATGTTTATAAATAGTCGTTTCCTATGTTCTATTGGGTCTTGACTCGCCTGATGGATCGCCAACTCTCTAAGCATGTCGTGCTGGGTGACAAAGTGTTCAGTGTAATAGCCATCTGTCTCCCTCTCATGTCTGGATGATCAATACTATTTTCTTTAATGATTTGTTCGGCATACATAATTAAATAGAAAAACTTATGAGCAGCCTGCATACCTTGTGACAACAAGATTAGCTAAACTTCGAGCGGTGAGCTCGTGAAGGTTGGCAATGGTCAGAATTTCTTCATCTAGACCATATAACTGCGCCCACATATCAATGAGAGCGGCAGCAGCAATTCTTTGGTCCTCCGGAAAAGAACCTAGATCGAGGAAACATTCCTTGATGATAACCTTCTCCTTATCCAAGGCATCTAAGCTGCTTTGGAGGCAAGCAAGTAAATCCTTGTCAGAATCAAGAATAGATGAACCTTTGCACCATTCCACTACTCTTTTCTGCCAGATTTCTATAGGCTGGCCGCGAAGTGATCTCCCAACCAATGCAATGGCAAGTGGGCATCCCTTACAGCGCTTGATAATCTGCAATATCATTATCCAAAATGAACTCAATTATTATTATTTGATTAAATTGTTGAAAATCATCTAAATGGTTTCATAAAGATGATAAAATTGTAAACTGTCTAGTCATTCATTCTTCTTACCTCATTCTTCACAGTTCATTAACGTGTGTGGATGCTCAAATGTTATTTCTTTACCTTCTTCTGAGGCATAAATAAGCATATATATATATGTGTGTGTGTGTGTGTGTGTATTGTGGACTAAGAAATCACCTTTCTCGAAAGATCTTCGTAAGTATAAGAGCTCTTATCTTCCAAGGATGCAGAATAGTGAAAAAGAGCCATTGCATCTTCATCATTCAATGGTGCCAAATGATAAGGAGAACCGAATCTTGGAAATGCAAATCTTGATGTGACCAAAATCTTGTAATTTGAAAACTTGAATTGATCAAACTTCTCAAGAAGGGACTCTGATCCTGACCAAACATCATCCAGGACAAACAGTAGAGGATTTTGTCTTGATTCCATCAGAAATTGTTGCAACCAGTTAGCTGCCATGTCTTCGTTTTCGAAAGCAGGCAGCTCGGACCCCTTCCGTTGATATAGTTCGTGTACAATAAGGTCCAAGTTGGGTTTTTTCGAGACATTGACAAAGAAGATGTTGTTCTTGAATGTATCTATTCAAACAGAATGTAGGAAAGGTGTTAATAAAAGGAAGGCATCAGCTTAACTTTAGTACAGAGAATATAGGTCTTTCTAATCTTTCTTATATTCCTTTCGTGCGCTTTAGTTTCATGTCCCCTTCGTTGTTTTTCTTTTAACAAATTTTGGTTACTGTGTATGGTTGAAATCATAAATAGTATACCTTTGACTTCTTGATCTTGACAAAACATTTTAGCCAAGGTGGTTTTCCCGCATCCTCCAGCAGCGGTCAGCACAAGCATAGACACCTTTTCATCCTTAAGGAGCTTCACCTTCAACTCCTTCAACGGCAAATCCAACCCGACTGTAACCGATGGCGCTTCAGGCACCGCAGACGAACATTTAACCATTTCAGGCTGGTTATTTTTTATCTTCAATCTCTCTTCTATTCGAGAGAGCACCGTCTCGATATTCCTCAAAGGAACCAACGTCTCCCTCGCATCCCTCATAACCTGCAGTTTAAGCACATCAAACACTCTTCGAAGAGATTTGTCCAGTTGATTAAGCTTCTTGGTGTATGTGTGTTTTCTCCACACGCCAACTTTGCTGCACTTTTGAACAAGCTTTGCTCCTTCCTCCATCTGTATTGCATAATTTTCCCGCCCCTCCTTGGAGTTATACTTTTCGATGTCTTTGATAAGTGGTTGTAGAGATTCCAGTGTGGATTTGATGTTTCCGAGTAGGTGTTGGAACATTGTATTCTCCTCCTGCGCTGATTTTACAGCATCAAACAGCATTTGAAATGACGTTCTCAGAGCACCCATTCCGACCGAAACCAGAGACATAATTTACGGAAACAATGAGACTCAAAACTTAATTCAATTACGTAATCTGTTCTTGGGTGATGAAAGAAGAACAGAAATTCCAACGCTTTGCAGAGAGAACGTAAAATAATCTAGTTTGATGAGAAACGGAGAATGTCGTGCGTTGTTTGTTTTCGACTCTGTGTTTCAGCACACATATATAGGTCGAGCGAGTTGGGAAGGCGAGACACCGAATTTTCTGGCTACATGTTTTGGTCTTCCCGTGCTTCACCGGGCGTTCAAATCAACACCCCCCACACGTTGTGTAGTAGATTTTTCTATAATGTGTCTTCAACGCAAATAGTCGGAAATTGATGTACTAATTAAGGTAACCTTTGAAATTGAAATCGATCAGTGTAGCATTTGAATTGGATGTTACAAATCAATTTGCCATTATATTTTTGTTAAAACTTCTGTTAGAATGTTAACGTGACACACATCTGGATTCCACAAAATTTAATAACAAACAAATAAAAAGAAAATTAACAATAAAAAATAGAAAAATAGAAAAAGCTTCATAAGAGGCAGAGATCACCCAACACAACTACCAAGCCACCATCTTCCCCACTGCTTTGTGTAGTAGATTTTTCTAAAATGTGTCTTTAACGCAAATAGTCGGAAATCGACGCACTAATTAAGGTGACCTTTGAAATTGAAATCGATCAGTGTAGCCTTTGAATTGGATGTTACAAATCAATTTGCCATTATATTTTCGTCAAAACTTCTGTTAGAATGTTAACGTGACACATATGTGGATCCCACAAAATTTAATAACAAACAAATAAAAAGAAAATTAACAATAAAAATTAGAAAAATAGAAAAATAGAAAAAGCTTCATAAGAGGCAGAGATCACCCAACACAACTACCAAGCCACCATCTTCCCCACTGCTCCGAAAAGGGTTACGACTCGAAAACGATCGACTCTGATCCGAGCACCTCATGTAAGCTTTTTCAAGAAATTTTAAAATAATCAACACTTTATAATACAAAACAAAATAAAATGAAATTGTTCACACAATATATGTAAGCATGTACTAGTTAAAATAGACTTTAATCTAATTCGTTGTTCGTTGTGTTAAAAGTAAAGTGGACAGGACATGATTGTGGAGCAAAAAATAGTCAAGAGGCGACACGTGGATTTTTGGGTTAAAAGGACAAAATTATCTTTGAGGCACACCGGAATTTATACACGTGAGCAGTGGACAATCATCCCTCAATCAAGTTAAAAGTGCCCAAATAGGTATTTATTTATAACATATTTCATCCGTCCCTCATCATATCTTCTCCACAAGGTAACCCCCAAAACATTCCTTTTAAATTATGTTAATTAGCTAATTAGTGAATTTATTACCTAATTAATCTATTAATGTCTAATTAAACTACCAATTAAACCCAAAAATACACACAAGAAGCTGGTCATCTTCTCTCCCAAGGGGGCCGGCCATGCCTTATATATTCTACCTTATTTTCTTTAAAAACCTTAGTCTTCACTCTTGCTAAACACTCAAAATTCTCAAAACACTTTTCCCTCAAAATTCTAACTTTGGCATCGGAGGTTTTTCGACCAAAGCCCCCCCTCCAAATTCATCGTGGGCGCGTGAGACTCTTGGCCTTGATCTAAGTTGTTATTTGTTTTATAGGTGCAATTTTGTCCAAGAATAAGGAGAAAGAACATATGATATCTTGGATTTTGCAATGGCATATGATCTCTTCTTAGCCAACACCTTCTTTAAGAAGAGAGAAGAACATGTGATCACCTACAAGAGTGGGTCGTCAAAAACACAAATAGATTTTCTTCTAATGAGGAAAGGGGATCGTATAACTTGTAAGGATTGCAAAGTTATACCAAGAGAGAGCGTGGCTAATCAACATCGCTTGTTGGTGATGGATGTACATATCAAAAGAGTGAGACAAAAGAACAAGACTTGGAAGTGTCCAAGGACTAGATGGTGGAATCTAAAAGAAGAAAAACAAGCCATTTTCAAAGAGAAAGTAATCACCCAGTGTGTGTGGGATAGAGAGGGGGAAGCTAGCCAAATGTGGGATTCCATGGCTAGTTGTATCCGAAAAGTAGCAAAAGAGGTATTAGGAGAGTCCAAGGGCTTTGCCCCACACCAAAAGGAATCTTGGTGGTGGAATGAGGAGGTACAAACAAAGGTGAAGGCTAAGAAGGAATGTTGTAAAGCCTTATACAAGGATAGGACCGATGAAAATGGTGAAAGGTATAGAAAAGCGAAGCAAGAGGCGAAGAAAGCTGTGAGAGAAGCTAAGTTAGCGGCTTACGACGATATGTATAAACGACTAGATACCAAAGAAGGAGAGTTGGATATCTATAAACTAGCTAGAGCAAGGGAAAAGAAGACAAGGGACCTAAACCAAGTGAGGTGCATCAAGGATGAGGATGGAAAGGTTCTTGCTACAGAGAACGCGGTTAAAGACAGATGGAGAGGTTATTTTCATAATCTTTTCAATGAAGGACATGAAATGAGTGCTTCTTTAGGGGAGTTGAGTAACTCAGAAGAGTGTAGAAACTACTCTTTTTATCGTCGAATCCGGAAGGAAGAAGTGGTTTGTAGCTTTGAAGAAGATGAAGCATAGAAAAGCAATAGGCCCAGACGATATACCAATCGAAGTGTGGAAAGTTTTGGGAGAGACAGGTATAACATGGCTCACTGACCTTTTCAATAGGATTTTGAAAACGAAGAAGATGCCAAATGAGTGGCGAACGAGCACTTTGGTGCCTATCTACAAGAATAAGGGCGACGTACAAAATTGCATGAACTATAGGGGTATTAAGCTAATGAGTCATACAATGAAGCTCTGGGAGAGAGTCATTGAGCATAGATTGAGGCAAGAGACACGGGTTTCGGACAACCAATTCGGGTTCATGCCAGGGCGCTCAACCATGGAGGCAATCTATCTCTTACGAAGATTGATGGAAAGATATAGAGATGGGAAAAAGGATTTACACATGGTCTTTATAGATTTGGAAAAAGCGTATGATAGGGTCCCAAGAGACATTCTTTGGAGGATTTTAGAGAAGAAAGGAGTACGAGTAGCATATATCCAAGCTATAAAGGATATGTATGAAGGAGCAAAGACTGCCGTAAGAACTCATGAAGGACAAACCGAAAGCTTTCCCATAACTGTAGGATTACATCAAGGCTCATCCTTAAGTCCTTACCTTTTTGCGTTGGTAATGGATGAGTTAACAGGACATATTCAAGATGATATTCCTTGGTGTATGCTTTTCGCAGACGATATAGTGTTGATAGATGAAACTCAGGAAGGGGTAAATGCAAAGCTTAACCTTTGGAGAGAAGTGTTGGAATCTAAAGGTCTTCGCCTAAGCCGATCAAAGACAGAATATATGGAGTGCAAGTTCAGTGCAAATGGAGGCCAAAACGAGTTAGGGGTGAGGATCGGAGATCAAGAAATACCAAAGAGCGACCGTTTTCGTTACCTAGGATCTATCTTGCAAAAGAACGGAGAATTAGATGGAGATCTCAACCATAGAATACAAGCTGGATGGATGAAGTGGAAGAGTGCATCCGGCGTGTTGTGTGACCGCCGTATGCCACTGAAGCTCAAGGGAAAATTTTATAGGACGGCAATAAGGCCGGCGATGCTGTATGGCACAGAATGTTGGGCGGTGAAGCATCAACACGTACACAAAATGGGTGTAGCGGAGATGAGGATGCTTCGTTGGATGTGTGGGCACACGAGAAAGGATAAGATTAGGAATGAGGATATCCGGGGTAAAGTAGGAGTAGCCGAAATTGAAGGAAAGATGAGAGAAAATCGGTTACGGTGGTTTGGACATGTGCAAAGAAGGCCTACTGACGCTCCGATTAGAAGATGCGACTATGGGACAGAGGTTCAGGGCCGAAGGGGTAGAGGAAGACCTAGGAAAACTTTGGAAGAGACTCTAAGAAAAGACTTAGAGTACTTGGATCTAACGAAGGACATGACACAGGACCGAGCACAATGGCGTTCTAAGATTCATATAGCCGATCCCACTCAGTGACTTGGATTTTCCAAGTCTCCAACCGAGAAGTTTTCCTCACTCGGGAAATTAAGGGAACACTACCTCAACCTACATGCTCCACTCACTTCAACATACAAGCTTCAACAAAAGAAAATTCAAAGAACTTAGCGAAGAAGGCTTTGGTGTATTTAACACAATACGTTGAAATGAAGGAAAGCTTATTTATTGATATCCCCGATAAGCTACAAATATGTACATATACATGAGTCAAAATAAACAAACAAGAGGGAGCCTTCACAAAGGTTGCTTAGGAGAAGTCTCAGCAGTCGGTAGAGCCCCAGAAAGAGAAGGCACCGGAGGGGGATCATTCGGAGCCTCAGTACTGGACAGAACCCTAGAAGGAGGAGGCATCAGAGGTTGATCATTTGGAGCTTCATTACGCGGTACAGCCCCAGAAGACGAAGGCAATAAATGCCTTTGGAACAAACCCACAAATCTCTGATGATCAAGTAAAACCTGACCATCAGATTCCTTCATCTGGTCAAGCTTCCTCTTCATGTTTGTAGCATAGTCATGTGCGAGCCGGTGCAACTGTTTATTCTCATGCTTGAGCCCTCTAATCTCCTGTTTGAGACTCATCACTTCAGCCGCCAATGATTCAACTTGGCGGGTTCGAGCAAATAGGCGTTGGGCCATATTAGACACAGAACCTGCACACTGAACACTGAGAGCCAGAGAATCCTTAACAGCTAACTCATCAGACCGTTTGGAAAGTAGTCTGTTATCTTTGGGAGTGAGAAGGTTCCTGGCCACCACCGCAGCGGTCATATCATTCTTCATCACGGAATCCCCAACGGTAGAGGACCAGTAGGGGAGACGAAGGATGGGCGCCATATGTTGTCTGGAGAAGGCGGGGCTGCCTCTTCAACAAGGTTCAAGTCAAAACGACGGTCGGAGGGGCCAGACATTTTCAAAGGTGTTGAAGAGAGAAGAGGTCGGACAAATCAAGATCTTAGAAGTGCAAGAATGGAGCTTCTACTGGTGGAGATTCAAGTGTGCTTTGGAACTTAATGCCAGCCCCTATAAAAAATCTGCACTCGACGGAGCTTCAGAAATCGAAGAGGCGCCTGCTCAGAAATCGAAGAGGCGTTTGCTTTCTCAAAAGCTGGG